TAGTAAATCTCACATTTTATTCTTAATGCCAAAGCTTGCCTTTTGGGGTTTTTTTTCAATATTGACAAATTTATTCACACATATCAGACTAGGAGGTTACAATAGAGCTGTGCTGACAAATGCATTATTGGAAAAAGTGTAGTTGGACAGAAATGGATATGGAAAATAAACCCAGACCTTAGTCAGTCATCTTCACATTATATTCCACACATTTTATTTCACTGAAAATAGTATACTTGATTGTGTATGTCAGTGCTAAACAAATAATAACCTTGCTACTCCAGGGCAAAAATGTTAATCCATCCCAGAGAACACTGCCTGTCATTTAATTACCATTAAGCTTTTTGTCCATACAAATTTATATTTAAATACTGCTTATCAAGGCAAATCCTTTAAGCCTCCTGTTGAGTGGACTGTGTTGGTGCAAGTGGCTACACCCACAAGTAAGTGCACAAACCTGTATATAAGGCTCACTGTACACATTTCAAGTTTAAGGCCTTCTGCTAAGGCATTGCCTTGCACTGCATAACAGCCTGGGGTATGAAACCAAAAGAATTTGATGAACACAGTTTAAGTGCCAAACTTTTCTTTCGCTCATGTTTGCAGAGCTGGAAAGTCTAACACAGCCTGATGATGCAGACCCACCATGCCAAACCACCTTTATTTGGGGATACCGATATTGGCAGGAATTCTTCAAGCAGCCAGTTATTATAACCTTCAGCTTCTGTGGTGGAAATGCTGCTGGCACAATGTTTGACAAACAGCATGCTGGTTATTAACATTTACATTGAAAAGTATGCCATACACATCCCACACATTTCTGAATCACTACTCCACCTTCCTCATGCAAATTTAACAAATGACTTATATTTTCATGGAAATCTTACAGTTTTATAAAATTATGTCCCCCAGGGAGGCAACTTTCATTTGTTTGGTGACTAAATGAGAGTTAGGGTATAAATAAACTTGCAGATATATTGCAATGGCTCAAGCAAAATGATTATGAAGTATTAGCATAGGAAACTGGGTATTGCAACTGACCAAAGAAGCTCACAGTTACATTATTGTGTGTACAGAGAACACAAAAGTGCCTAACAACTAAAGCCAAGAAATCCCACAAGCCTTCACCAAAAAATGAACACATGTGGAGGAAAAAGTCTACCTAATATGAAACAAATATGGATATGTGTGATGTTGAAAGTGAAGCATTCTCTTCTACCTAACTGCAGGATTCACAGAGTAAACTGAAAGCTGGGGGCCTTGATAACAATGTTGGTGTCCTTTTACTCAAGACCTTAGAGACTACATTTAGTCACCCAGAATATGAGAGATTCAGACATGATTTTTTTTTTTCCAGTGCCCAGTATGAAATAGATCCATCAAACCTAAATCAGATGATGATTTGTGCATTTGTTCATTACACTAGGCTATAAAAGGAAATTAATCCCCCTCCATACCAACTCTTCTACCTTTTTGATCTCAGTGAGACTATTGCAACATATTTTCAGAAGACAAAGCATCTCATCAAAGAGGCTGACAATCTGAAACACAGCTGCCACATTGTACAGTACTCCCTGAAGAGATTATGTCTAATGAAGAGTCTGGAAAATAATTTTACAGGTCATTTCAAGCAAGACAGTTGAGACTAGAGATAAAAATTACATTATGTCAATGGCAGAAACCGTTATATTGCAGGCAGGAAAGAAATCATTAAACAATGTTATTTAACAAAGAATAGGTTTTTAAGTATGTACTAGGTTTGGTAATTTCAAGTAACACTGGAAAACACTAGCTGGAAAACCACAAAAGTTGAGGAACAGTCTATGTCTCAGGGCAGTTTTGCACATCAGAACCCTTTTTCTCCTGTTCTCATCTGATAATTTGTGTGCCTCATTTACTTTACAACTGACGTTTTAAAACACAATTATCCCTCCTCACATCTATAAGAAAACATCTATTTTTCACAATACAAAATATTCCAAAGTATAAATAAGCAGTATAACCAGATGTCTGACTGCATTAGTGTCTTCTCACTAGCTTAGTGCACTGACAATCTGTCCTTCACTAACATTTTTTCAGCAGGGAAGTTTACATACATGTGCTATTACTTCCAAATCCTACTGCGTATCAGGGCTCAGACTTGGGGTTAGATACTAAAATGAACTTTCCACCCTGTTTTATACCTCAAAACTGGGCTATTTGCCAAAGAAATACTTGCACAGGAGGGACAAATCCCAAAATACACGCATTTTTGCATTCCAGGAGTCAATCTTCTGACATGTATATTGTAGTGTATTTTTTGATAGATAAGGGGCAGGACTCAATGACTAGATGGAAGAGCACTACTAGAAAGAAAATGTTTACTTGCATATAATTTCTAATACATCTTAGAAGTCTTAAGTCTTAAAAAGTAAGACTTTGGAGTAAGTAAGCAAGTAATTTTTTGGAAATAATTTACCTACAAATTCTACAGATTGCCCAACTTTTGGATTTCCTGCTTAAGGTTCTGAATTCAAAAGAAAAGCAGGATTTTTCAGCACAAAATTCTATTCAAATTTTTTTTGCATCATACCACATACAAAGGTAAAAGCTTTCCATCCACAGCCAAAAGACTGTGTGACCCTACTTGGCACAGCTGATGAGCTCAAGGTACCTTCTTGAAATCTTTTTTGCAGTAAAGATACCTTGGATACAGTAAAGCTGTTCTCCAGAAAGAGGAGCTAAAATACAGGAAATAGATCTCTGTAAATGGGTTGGGGTTTTATTATCATCCAGAAACTACAGCACTTAATGGCAGTCACAAAACAACACAAGAAAAGCACATTCTACAAACAATGTCTGCAGTAACATCAGCATTAGCACTAAATCACCACTTGAGAAAAACTATTCCTTAAGCAATAATCACATGCCATATTATACCAGTAAGTGTGTTACCCTCTCAGTAATGCTTAAAAGGAGGTAAAACTCAGCTTTTTTTGGACATCAGCTGTACTCTGCATTATTGTTCCCCTATAATCACCATAATAACATCAGGAAATACCAGTAATTTGAGGATTAAAAAAACAAAAGTAGAGAAAAGTATTCGTACTGCATGTAGATGATGACGAGTATATCATATGCTACACATGGCCCAGCTTATTATTTATTAAATTCTTGGCCATAGGAAGGCCTCTAGCAAAACCATTGACTTTTGGTAGAAAAGGCTTATCTACAAAATGTACCAGAAATGTGATGTAGCTGGAAGTTAGGCAGAAAAATTCAAAAACTGCTTGGTAATGACTGTACCCTGGAGGAGCCTATTCACTCACTGCATTCATTCCTGCCAGCCAAGGAAGTCCTGGCAGTGGCCACATGTAGGCATTGCCTATGGATCTCTGTGAAGTGATTCTTTTCCACATCCAGAGAAACCCCACAAAGAACAACTTCTCCGTGCCTAATGTGCACGTCAAAAACAAGCCCTTGATAACTTCCTGTGGTTACTGGTACGCTTGTTCTACAAAGCAACTAGATTAGGATGCAGGCTTTCCTTATGGCCACTGTGAGGTGATGAGAGGCAGTCTCCACATGGACTGTGGTGCTGGACCAAGAGCTGACAGCACAGACACTTTTTTCACTTCATCCTTGAAGTGAAATTATCAGCACCCCACAGACTTGCAGACTTTGTTTGAAGAGATGATTTGAAACACTTAACGCAAGCTCTATCCTCTCACATCTACACAACCACTCTGAGTAGATGGCAAAAGAACTTCAGAATTGCCATATTAGTTCAAAGCTTTAGTCCACTAGTGAGAACCAATCTGAACTAAACATCACAAGGCTTTTCTTCTAAAAGGATTCATTAGATATATGCATTAGATAGGTGCATTCATATATTTTGAGACAGGGTTTAAGTCCAACATGCAGTAATATATGCTGTTACAGCTATATGAGCATACTGAATTAGTGATTCACAAAGACACTCAAGAATAGCAATACAGCAGTAAATTTTGAAAACTCTGGTTGTTCTTAGCTGAGTTGATAAATATTCAAACACTGTAAGTGTTCCCAGTTTCACTGTTGTTATTCCTTTCCTATATCCAGGTAGCTGTCAAGTGGCTGGTAGGTGGCTCACAGATAAAACAGCAAATATTAGGAGAGCCTGATAACTGTAATTTACCATTTAAGCAATAAAATATAATTTGTAAAAAAGAAATTACACATCTTCTGGCAATCATCTGAGATTTTAGGACTCATCTTGCATTGCTTAATACCCATTTTCTTCCTCTGTTGGGTAGCTTCTCCTCAGAAGCATTAACAAGTGGTAATTACAGTAGTCATGCTGACAGCACATAACCAAAGGGACACTGCCAACACTGAACACCAATCGACGTGGATGTTAAGTTGTAGTTCCTGGAACCTTTGTAATTTATGTTTACATAATTCAGCTTTTATTGCATATGTTCTTACACTCTGCTTTAAATGATAACTACCTGCCAAAACTCACATAATGAAATTACACAAGGCTACGCGGCCTTGACAAAAATAATGATAGGAGGATGGGGTTTTTTGCAATTATTTTGAAATAATGAAAAGAGGATGGCTTTATGCACACACCTGCAATGTGCGCTCTCTCGGTGGGAGCAACCGATCACAGGAGTTAAAATTTCCCTGATTACATTAAACCCATTAGACACCACCAGCTCTATGTACACCCGACGTCTCTTGCCCTACTCTCCACAGCTGAGCCCAAGCCACCCTTCGCCTCCCTGCCAGCGGGACGGCACCACGGCGTGCTCAGAGGACACCTGCCAGCCCGGGCACGGCGCTGCCAACGCTGCTCCTCCACCTTTTCAAACCCAGCAACCCCGCTCCTGCCCGGGGAGGGCGAGGGAAGCTGGCAATCCCGAGCGCAATCCCGAGGGAAGCGGCTGCCCCCGAGCGCTCCCGGCCCCGCTGCCCCTGTCCCGCCACCGCCTCCCCCGCGGGGACGGAGCGACCCCGGCGCGGCCGGCGGGACTCACACGGGGTAGAAGGCGTAGGGCGGCAGGGCGCTCTCCTCGCACAGCTCCGCGTCCAGCAGCAGGTAGTCCTGGCTGTCGTTCCGCCGGGTCCCCGGCGCCGGGGAGCTGCCCTTCCGCGGGGCGTAGGGCTGCGCCTGGCTCATGCTGTCCCGCGGCCGAGGTGCGGGGCGGCGCAGCGGCTCCCTCGGGGCGCGCCGGCAGCGGCGCGGAGGCGCCGGCGCTCGGGACCGCGCCGGGCTCTCTCCGGCAGCGCCGCGGCCCCGCTCGCTCGGCGCCCCGGCAGCGAGGGGCTCCCGGCAGCCGGAGCCGCCGCCCGCCGCGCCGCGGGCGAGGAGCAGCTCGGAGCGGGGGCAGCAAAGTTTGCGGCGCGTCAGCCGGCGCGGCCGTCCCCGGCCGGAGGGAAGGGGCGGGAGGTGGGAGGGCGGCGGGCTCCGCTCGCCTCCCCTGGGGCTTCGGTGCCCCCTGCGCGCCTCCCCCGCCGGCGCCGCCGCTCGCAGCGCCCCGGCCCCGCGGAGCTGCGGCCCGCGGCAGCGTCCCGGCTGCGCTGGGCTGCCCCGCTGCGCTGCCCCGGGCAGGGGCCATGTCCCGCTGAGCCCACTGACCGCCCCGCCGGGACCGAGCCCGCCGCCCGCCGCTTCGCCCAGGCACAGCCCGCGGTGGTCTGGAATGAGTGCCGCCGAACGCTCCCGTGGGAATTCGGCTGGACCGGCGGCGCGGCCGGCGGTGGCTCCCCGCGGCTGGGGAACAGAGCTCTTGCTTGGATTTACAGTGGCTTGGTAGGACAGCCTGCGCTGCACTTGTGTCCTCGTGTTAGTGGCCGAGGAAGAGCATCAGTGAAAATGAATGCTAATCAAGAACGCCCAAAAAATCTGCAACTTTGTCTTCCCCATAAACTGGAAAATTTCATTGGAAATTCTACTTCCTTTTCAGGCTCTTCACCTCTTTCTTTCATTTCTGAAACATCCTCTTACAAACAGGGTTCACCTGTTTCAGAGAAGAGCCAGTTTTTAATCACCTCTAATAACTTCAGTTAAGAGCAGAGGCAAAATATCAAATATCATAGTAAAAAAAAAAAAAAAAAAAAAAAAAAAAAAAAAAAAAAAAAAACATATTTTTTATATCATAGTAAAACAAAACAAAACAAAACAACACTATATTTTTGCAGCAATAACGCTTAAGCAAAACTCAGTCCACTTGTATTTCTCAGTTCTGCTTCACTAGTAGCACTTTGTTGGATGATAGTTTGCAAATAAGTAATTACAAACTTTTCTAAGAGAAAACATGTATGGCACTGAAGAGTTAACATCTTACCTTTAGGTATCTTCCACGTTAAACATAGTACTTACTATTTCATGAGGGGATATTTAGAATTAAGTGTTGTAAATAGTTAAAACATTAGTGCATCCAAATAAAATCACTCCTTCATTCCTGGCCATGTTCGCATGTTGAATTGTGTTTGTGTTGCAATAACACACAGCCCCGCACTCTCTAGGCATGCACACCTTCGCCTGATTTATTGGTGTGCTGAGAAAATAACTAGGCAAGCCCCAGGACAGTCATTTGCAGAGCAGGCTGACCCTGCGCCTGCTCTCCAGCAGCCCCAGCCAGCCCATGGCTTCATGGCTGCCTGGGCCACTGGGACTCCTCACACCTACTGAAACTGCCAGAGGAAGAGCTGTGTAAAGAGACCTGAAGCTCATTTACGTGGTCTTTAGAGGAGGTGCAGAAATACCTGCAGTCAAATTTCTGAAATTTCCTTTGTCCTCCTTGCTATGGCTCTCAAAATTACACTCTAATGAGTTTTAGGAATCTTCCCTTCTTTGCAAACCATTTTTTTCTGTTAAAGGATATTTTATTTTAAATAGGTAGTTTAGTACCAATGAAACCATGTGTATTTTATAATTCTCATGTTGCTACTTCTTTGGTATTACTATAAAAACAGACAATACAAAATTATGTGCAGGCTTTGTATTTGAGAAATATGTTGTTGATAATATCTCACATATTGAAAGAAAATTGCTTTCTAGAATACTTTGTGATGGAATTTTGATGTGTTCCACTGTTCTTGTGCGTAACCATTTAATTTCATTTGTTCTACTCTGTTATGAAGAGACAGTACTTCTCCACTTAGTGCTTTTTGTTTATTCCCCAAATGTTTGCAGCTGCTTTTTATTTCAAGTAGTCTATTTGATATTAGGCTGTTTCAAATGTTTTCCTCCAGGTACCTTTTTCTTCCCTTTCCCTCCCTCTTTTCTTTTTTTTCCTCCCCTCTGGTATATTTTCTTCTTTCTTAAAGTGAATACCATCCTACTTTGTTGATGGGCTATCAGAGCCTTTGATTTCAGAGCCTGCACAGCCACTTTCTCTGTTTCATTCTGCTGCTTTCTTCAGTCTTGTGCTTACTGATTGAATGCCCCTAGATTATTTCCCATCTTCCACATGATACCTGTGCATCTCTCTCAGCTACCAGGTGACATTTCTCACCTTCTCAGTTGCTGCCCTTCCTACATGCCAAACTTTCCCTGGTCTTCATTCTTATTTCAGACTCATAAATTCTGGTATTTCCCAAGGCACTCTTACTTTCTCACCAATCCCAAACCTTTCACAAATCCTGAAGCCACACTCAATAGGTGTTATTGATGATACAGTGATGACAGAGCTGTGTGATTTTCCAGAAACATTGGGCAGATAAATTATAGGAACAAAAAATGTTCATTGCCCTTGAAAGGAAAAAAAAAAAAAAGATGCTGAGCTGAAATTCTGAATCTTTTCAACCTGATTTATATTTTAAAAAGACATCTTTCAACATACTGTAGCAACTGCCTTGTCTCCATTGCCTGGTTACGAGGTGAAGACACGCAGCACTATGGGAGTGGGCCATACTTCTACTAGAGGTCAGATAAACACAGATGTTCTGAAATCTGTGGGTTTTTCAAGAGTCACAATATGATGGGAGTGCTGGCTAAAGGTGGTGTGTCCTTTTGATGCATTTATGTTGGAATGGTTCAGGATATGGGAGTGGACTTGCATTTTTTTCTTTTTTTAGGCTAAGGATGATAATCCATTCTGTATCTATCTGAAATCTAGTGAGGTTTGAAAAGAATTATTTTGGATGCCAAAATGTTGGAAAGAAGAAGCAAGGTGTGGTCCTTTCCTTTTGTGAGAGAGAAGAAAAGAGATTCTTAGCAGAGAGTATAACTTTAACTATTCATTACACTTTGTGCAAGTTTTTCCAACACCAAATGGAATTTATATATTATTCTGGCTTTCCTAATGACTTGGTATTTCTGTTGCAAAGATGAACATATGCCATTTTTTAATGACTTAGCCATTATTGATGTTTATGCTATCATCTATTAGACATTTAAATTGCAAATTGAATTACAATGAAATCGCTGTTCTGAAGAAAGTTATCAGATCTTCAGTCTAGTATTTCCTGTAAATATGTGTGTATATCTGTATGTAAAATCAGAGTGAATACTGAACTAGAAAAGCAAGCTGTTTTTCCTGAGTCTTTATGGGGTTTGAGTGGCATGGTTTTGGTAGTGGGGGCCTACAGGGGTGAGTTCTGTGAGAAGCTGCCAGAAGCTTTTCCCAGTGTCAGATGATGTCAGTGCCAGCCAGCTCCAAGACAGACCCACTGCTGGCCAAGGCTGATCCGTCAGCAATGGTGGGAGCACCTCTGTGACTACAGATTTAAGAATGGGGGGAAATTTCTGCACAACAACATTTGCAGCCAGACGAAAAAGTGAGAGTGTGTGAGAGAAACAGCCCTGCAGACCCCAGGGTTGGTGCAGAAGGAGGGTCGGGATGTGCTCCAGGTGCCAGAGCTGAGGTTCCCCTGCAGCCCGTGGTGCACAGACCATGATGAGGCAGCTGTGCCCCTGCAGCCCGTGGAGGTTCATGGTGGAGCAGAGATCCACCTGCAGCCCATGGAGCACTCCATGCTGGAGCGGGGGAGGAGCCCATGCTGGAGCCCAAAGGAGGGTGTGACCCCATGGGAAACCTGTGATGGAGCAGGTTGACAGGACATGTGGACCTCTGGAGAGAAAAGCCCATCCTGGAGCGGCTTTGCTGGCAGGACTTATGAGCATCTGGGGATTTATGCTGGAGCAGCCTGTTCCTGAAGGACTGCACCCTCTGGAAGTGACCCACATTGCAGCAAGGGACTGTAAGGAGTCCTCCCCTTGAGGCGGAAGGAGCAGCACAACATGACTGCTACTTCCATTATCTGTCCCCCTGTGCCACTGGGGGAAAGATGTTTTAGGATTCAGCTTTTATTTCTCATTATCCTACTTTGATTTGATTGGTAAAAAAATTTAATTTGTTTTGCCCAAGTTGAGACTGTTTTGCCCCTGATGGTAATTGGTGAGTGATCTTTCCCTGTTCTTGTCTTGACCCATGAGCCTTTCCTTATATTGTCCCTTCTGTGTCCAGTTGAGGAAGGGAGTGATGGAAGAACTTTGGTGGGCACTTGGCATCCAGCCAGGGTTAAACCACCACTGAGATTTTATCTAACTTGTACACATATTAACCTTTTATACTTTAGAAGTAAAAAATACCTAACCGCGACCAAAAAAATTTGCAGCATTTACATGCTTAATATCTCCCTTGTGCACCTTTTTTAATACATAATCAGAAAATACATCTGTCTTCTCAGATAAAAAGAACTGATGCATTAATGTGAAGTGTAAGTGTAGTTTAGAGTTGGTTTAATTGGTTTTATTACAGACAGCAAGTTACAAACTATTCCATCATCATTCACTCAATCAAGTCTAGTGACTGAGATATTTCACTCACAAAGATGAAAAACAAAAGCTGAAAGCTCCTGTTCCCTCTACAAGGGAAAGGATGAGAGATGGAGTGAGCTTGCCTAGAGTGACAGGCACATTGCTTAATGCACTACTAGAAGCCACTTGGGTGCCATGGCAATGAAAGCTGCAAAAGATGCCACTCAGAACAGCACAGTACCATGATTCAGCCTCACTGCATAACTTACAAAATGGTTATCTTGTGGAATATATATAGGTGCAATTGTATTGCTAACTTGTAGACTAATCTAAACCTCTTCAGGAACAAGATAAAGTGGCAACATCAACCAGTACTTCCAAGGAAATTTTCAAGGATTCATACAGTGATGTTTAATTGCTCACATTTAACCAAAGTCTTGTTGTGTAAGCTGGTTGGAATGCACTGATAAGAGTACTCCAGCACATGCCACATTTGGTTTCCTGGCTTTCTGTTCTGCCATGGCAATACTATCAAAACCACAGTTAAATAAACCGGGAAAGGTGCAAGTCAATTC